TTATTCAGAATGTCTGAGAGTCCAATTAACCAACAGGTCAACACAAAGACAAAAGGTATTGCTATTACACTACAGTGTCACCTAATGAATGGGCGAGTGAGGATGAAAAGTTAACACCCAAAAAGTAGTCAAGAAAATCTCAGAGGAGTCCTCAAAAAAGAAACATTATTTTGAAAACAAAGAATGCTGGAAATCACAGCAGGTCAGGCAGAATCCACGGAGAGAAAGCATGCTAAAGTTTCGAGTCTAGATGAGTCTTCATCAGAGCTTGCTCTCTCTCCATGGATGCTGTCTGATGCACTGTGATCTCCAGCATTTGTTTTCAGTACAAATTCTAGCTTCTGCAGTCATTTGCTCAAATATTATTTTAATACAAGGCGCATCTGAAAACCAGTTGATGTGCTGAAGAGGAACGAGCTCCAACTGTCAGGAGATGGACTGACTGTAAATCTGTTCATAATTAAATGGTTCATCAACCAGGAAACTAGGCATGAAGACATAGTCACGAACATAACTAACTCACTGGGAAAGATCAGTGACATTCTCAAATCAGATACACGTGTGTTAGATAACAAAGACCTGCTGATGTGAGGATAGAACATCAACCTGCTCTATATCAGCTTCTCAACCAGATGGTGTGGAAAATTGATATCTGTTTACAGGACAGCGTGTCATGCTGGGCACTATCCAAGTGATTAACTGCCTTTCTCTGAAAGTCTGACCCAGAAATAAATGGCACTGGGGTATAACAAGCAGACTGGCTGGAGTTTGATAGGCATGGACTGAGGGTAACACATCATGATTACTTACACTCACACATACATACAGACACTTGCAAGTTTTACTTTATATCTAACCCTGCGCTGTCCCTGTCCTGGGAGTGTTTGATGGGGAACAGCACAGAGGGAGCTTTACTCTGTATCTAACCCCGTGCTGTCCTTGTGCTTGGAGTGTTTGATGGGATTTCTGTGCTGCCTTCGAATGATACTGGGTAAATATTAATTGATGTGTATATAAGAAGTATGTAGGCACATCCTGGCTCTGGTTGGTTTAAATGAGCTTTATTGACAAAGTAATGCCTAACTTCACTGAAACAAGCTTTTGTCTCAGTGTCACTATTCCCAGACCGAATCAGTAGGCAGAGACAGTTAACGTCCTCGTTCAGACAATCTTGGGATAGGTAGGTGGGGGATATATGCCTCTGGTGGATGAGGCTCTCATTTTCCCATCATTTGGGATGTTAGAACCTATACAAAAACACAAGACCAACCAACCACACTGTGTTATAATGGTGGACAAGGAAAGAGCCATCTGCTAGACAGACCATCAAACAGCCTGTTCCTCCTATGAATCTCACATTGTTGTTCAAAGAGAGAGCATGAAATTACGAAACTTACAATGAGTCACAAGAAGTTAATATTCGGATATGGCAAATAATGGAGATGGCTTACTTTTGCTGTGAGAGGAATTTAACATAAAATTAACGAAATTATGCTTCAGTTATACAGAGGATTGGTGAGACCACATCTCAAATACTGTGCACGCTTTCAGTCTCCTTATGTAAGGAAAAGTGTAAATGCGTTGGAAGCAGTTGAGAAGAGGTTTACGAGATTGATTTTGCGTGAGCCAAGTGTTTTGGAGGATATGTGTTAGACAGATTAGATCTGTTCCCACTGAACTTTAGAATGGTGAGGGATGATTGACTGAAGGTGAAAAAGGTTCTAAATAGCCTTGACAAGGTGGATGTAGAAATATTTGGTGCATCCAGAACTAGGGTGTTCTGTTTTAAAATTGAGGGTCCTCATTTTCCTTTTCCTTTTGTGATAAAAGTTAAGTTTTACATGTATATTATTACCATTTGAGATTTGGTTTGTGAAACGGAAGTGATTTTGGTCAGTTCTTTAAAGATAGCCTTTTTTTTTAAGAAGGTCAGAAGCTCATTTGGAACAGTGACTTAAATATATAATTTCCAAGAAGGCATGTTACTTTAGTTAAGTGCCCAGCTGGACAGCTGTGGTGTTAATGGATGGAATATTTAATCTGGTGAGTTTGCAACAGACCAGAGGCCACTCGTTCTGCTTTAGACTTCAGCTCAGAAGAAGCAGGAGTTTAGTTCAAAGGGAAAGCTTCCTCCAAGCAAGGGAATGAAGGTTTCAGTTCAAGGAAACCAGTCACCCTGGCAGGAGTGTTATTCTTCAAACGTATTATTCTTCGAGGAAAAAGGAATTGAAGAGGTTTAGACTTGAAAAGTCACCAGAATTGGAAATCAATCTGAAAACTGTCTCAGCAGTTCAAGGAAAAGAATGGGGCGGCATGGTGGCTCAATGGTTAGCACTGCTGCCTCACAGCGCCAGGGACCCGGGTTCAATTCCACCCTCGGGAGACTCTCTGTGTGGAGTTTGCACATTCTCTCCATGTCTGCGTGGGCCTCCTCTGGGTGCTCCGGTTTCCTCTCACAGTCCAAAGATGTGCAGGCTAGGGTGGATTGGCCATGCTAAATTGCCCATAGTGTCCAGGGATGTGCAGGCTAGGTGGGTTAGCCATGGGAAATGCAGGGTGATGGGGTGGGTCTGGGTGGGATGCTCTTTGGAAGATCGCTGTGGACTCGATGGGCTGAATGGCCTACTTCCACACTGTAGGGAATCTAGGAACTGAGAAGAATTAGTTAGGCAAGAGGTTTATGAATTGAGGTAACAGCAATATTTCTCTAGGATCCAGTGTCCGTAAAGGATAGCATTGAGAAGCAGGGTGAAACTTTGCTTTGCTGTATATATTGAGAGCCTTGTAAATTGTTGTATATATTGTCATATATATATGTTCGCTGTTCTTAAAGTCATAGAGTCACACAGCATGGAAACAGACCCTTCAGTCCAAACTAAACTGGTCCCACCTGCCTGTTCCTGGCCCATATCCCTCCAAAAACCAAACCTTTCCCATTCATATATCCATCCAAATGTCTTTTAAACGCTGTAATTGCATCCACAACCGCCACTTCCTCAGAAAGTTCATTCCAAACGCGAACCAACCTCTGTTTAAAAAATTGCCTCGTGTTTTTTAAATCTCTCTCCTCTCACCTTAAAAATATGCCCCATCATCTTGAAGTTCCCCATTTTAGGGAAAAGTCAACTACAGTTGTCTCTATCTATACCTCTCGTTATTTTATAAACTTCAATCAGGTCACCTCTCAACCTCTTACGCTCCAGTGAAAAATGTCCCAGCCTATTCAGCCTTCCCTTATAACTCAAACCTTCCATATCCAGCAACATCCCAGTAAATCTCTTCTGAATCCTCTCCAACTTAATAATATCCTTCCTGTAATTGGGTGACCAGAACTGGACACAGTATTCCTGAACAGGCCTCACCAATGTACTGTACAACCTCAAAATGACTTCCCAACTCCTATACTCAAAGGACTGAGCAATGAAGGCAAGCATGCCAAATGCCTTTTTAACCACCCTGTCTATATGTGACGCAAACTTCAAAGAATTATGTACCTGCACCCCATGTCCCTCTGTTCTACAACACTACCCAAGACCCTACCATTAATTGTATAAGCCCTACCCCTGTTTGTTGTACCGAAATGCAATATCTCGCATTTATCCAGATTGAACTCCGTCTGCCATTCTTCAGCCCATTGACCCATTTGATCAAGATCCCTATGTACTCTTAGAAAACCTTCTTCACTGTCTACAATGCCACCAATTTTGGTGTTGTCCGCAAACGCACTAACCATGCTTTCTATGTTCTCATCCAAACCATTTGTATAAATGACAAACAAAAGAGGACCCAGAACTGATTTGACATGTCTAGTGACACTATCAGTTGGAATTATAGCACTCAGTGGGTTTGCGACTGTGAAACTCTCTGCTTCGGAAGGTGGAGGAGATAGGTCATTGAATGTTTTTAACGCAAAGGTAGATACCGTTTTGTTAGAAAGGGAAATAAAAGGTGGATGGGAATATGGAATTCAAAATGCAAGCTGATTAGCCATGATCTTACTGAATGGTGGAAACATATGGCCTACTTCTGCTCCTAATATGTGGGTCTTAAGACAAATGTATCAACTCTACTAAAAAGCACATTAATGTTTACCCTGGGAAGACTAACTCCTTTGATTCCAATCCCTCCCCTTGTATCCTCTGAGCAGGGAGAAGATAGACATTAGTGTGAGGATGGTGGGCTATCATTCTTAATTCTCCAGCACTCCTGGCATCCTACTTACAGAGACCCAACAACAACGGGAAATTTGACTGGGGAGCCAGTACATAGACAGTCTACACTCTGGCTTCCCTAGGTGCACTGTGCAATTTTCTCTGTTGTCCTCTGTGGAGCTATTTAAACGTGGAATTTCCTGTCAATGGAGGCAAAAGGATACACAAATGCTCAAAGTGTACAACATCAACTTACATTTATATAGCATCGTTTACATGAATGTACTCACACCAAGTGTGAAACATAGGAGATACTAGGGCAGGTTTCCAATGGCTTCTTCACGGCAGTCAGTCGAAAGCAGTGTCTTGAAGAAACAGAATGTGGTTGTGAACTTGAGGGAGGGAAATCCAGAGCTTAGGGGTGCTGGATAAGTACAGGGGAGATAAAAAGAACAGGAGGATACGTGGCCCCGGCTAGGATGAAGTAAGGTCACTGGAGGCCTTGCAGAGCACGAACATCAGAATAGTCGAATGACCCGTTTGCGTGCAGCGTGTTCTAGATAAATGTGAAATAAGTCTGTGATTTAGCCACACTCACTAGCTCAAAGGATGAAGGGTCAGGAACAGCCTCACACATAAGACCAGCAGTATCTGAACAACACAAGCTGTGGAATGGACTGTGGAACAGCACAGTCAGCTGCTGTTACAAAACTCATTGAAAGGTGTCAATTCCAAACCAAACCATCCCACTGCTGCACAGGGATGTGTCTGCATTTCTCCATCAATCGCAGTACATTTTCATACCAGGGGTACAACACAAAAGCACATGTTAAAATGAAATGCCCAAACCTGATAATGTCTTTGTGCCCATTCTTGGCAGCCAGATGCAATGGGGTGGTGAAGTTGGCATCAGTGCTGTCTTTGGACTGACCCTCCAGCAAGGCAACACACATGTTACTGTTCAACAGGAGCTGTGCAACCTGGCCAGGGAGGCAAGGGAGAGATCAGTGTTTCAGAGCCATTGAAAATCTCACACAGATTAACTACTTGCATTCCAGAGATTCTCTCCGCTCAACAATTCTGCAGTCTGCATGCCTCAAACACAGTTTAGCTGTTGCCAATGCAGCTTAAAATTGAGTTAGTATCAGGAATCTGGCTGATCACAGTATTGTCAGCACTCACAGACGTTGTTGCTGACTGCTGCGCTAATGGGGTTCCTGATCACTGCTATCTGTTGTCCATCTGAGCCACTGTGAAGGGCTATTGGCCATGTATCTATTGGGATAGTTTCTGACTCTCCCTTCCCCAAACCCCAGCTCCTTCTTGCTGCCTTTCTGGCTCAATACCAGACTCATCTCAGCACAGGTTTTATTCCTGTTTGATCCCAGTTTGAAAAACCAGACAGTCACAGTTTATTCCTGTTTTAGAACCCATTTCTTAAGGATCCATCTCCCCACAGCTGGATCCCCACTCTCACTCCTTGCCTAGAAAATGCTACAAAACTCTTTACGTATACAGTCATACAGCAATGTAAACAGACCCTTGGGTCCAACCAGCCCAGAGGTGACACACCCACTCCTCTGGGTCACAAGGTTATTGATACACACAAAATTGTGCGTATGAAATCCAGGCTTACACTCCAATTCTGTACTGAAGGACAGCCGCATTGTTAGGGGTGCTGTGTTTCAAATAAGGCATGACACCGAGGCCCCAGCTGCTCTTCCACACGGATTTAAATGATTGCAATACAGACCTGGAAGAACAGTGACAGAGTTCTCACTGGTGTCCTTCCTAAAATCTAAAGCAAAGTCACAAGAAATGGATGAAGTCCTCTTTTTCCTTCATTGCTGTTTGGGGGACAAATTGATTGCTGCATTACAGTAGTGACTACAGTTCAAAAGCACTTTTATTGGAGTTCCATGCCCTTTTAGAATGCCCTGAGGTTGTGGAAGTTGCTATATAAAGGCAAATCTTTCATTGGAGGGCTAGTAAATTTACCTGAGACTGCTCCAGGCCATGCTGTGTAGTGTTGGCCTGAATGGTCGATCACCATCACAATAAGGGTAAGGTTGGCCCCTCCTTTGTGGTCCTCTTTATTTAGCTTCTGCTGGGGTTTTCTCTTCACTCATTTCCTGTCCCATCATCTGACCCCACGTAACCATTAGACACAAGCCAATTGGCAGCTGATGCCTTTGTTCTGTTTAACTATAGGAGGCTTCATGTCCGTAGTCCTGTCCAACTCTGAACCTGAACTGATGCCCACACAAAGATGCTCCCTCGCAAAAGCTAATGGGCAATGTTAAGGTGGCTCAGGTGATATCCCCTCGCAGTACCCTGGCAACACAGAGGCCAATGTGCTCCAATAACTGAGAGCGACAAACTCGGCCTTGACCTGGGATTGAAGTTGCAGGATGTGGTAAATCCATCCAGCTGAGTTTGATGTAGTTGCTGTGGGATGAACACACCTCCCCAAACAAAAGATAAAGTCATTCTTGATAAATGTCTGGTGTTTCAATCAGCAGGTAAAGTGGCCAGTGGCATTGGCAGGGTCAAACACAGGAGTAGTAGAAACTGCAGATGCTGGAGAATCTGAGATAACAAGGTGTAGAGCTGGATGAACACAGCAGGCCAAGCAGCATCAGAGGAGCAGGAAGGCTGACGTTTCAGGCCGAGACCCTTCTTCAGAAATGGGGGAGGGGAAGGGGGTTCTGAAATAAATAGGTAGAGAGGGGGAGGCAGATAGAAGATGGATAGAGGAGAAGATAGGTGGAGAGGAGACAGACAGGTCAAAGAGGGGGGGATGGAGCCAGTAAAGGTGAGTGTTGGTGGGGAGGTAGGGAGGAGATAGGTCAGTCCAGGGAGGACGGACAGGTCAAGGGGGCAGGATGAGGTTAGTAGGTAGGAAATGGGGGTGAGGCTTGAGGTGGGAGGAGGGGATAGGTGGGAGGAAGGACATGTTAGGGAGGCGGGGACGAGCTGGGCTGGTTTTGGGATGCAGTAGGGGGAGGGGAGATTTTGAAGCTTGTGAAATCCACATTGATACCATTGCACTGCAGGGTTCCCAAGCGGAATATGAGGTGATGTTCCTGCAACCTTCGGGTGGCATCGTTGTGGACCTGGCCCAGACTATTAATCCAGAGACACCTTGGTTTGATATCATGCCATGGCAGATGGTGGAATCCGGAAGGAAGATGACTGTGAAACTATTGCTGATTGTCCGGAAAACCCATCCGGCTCACTAATGTCCTTCAGGGAAGGAAATCTTCTATCGCCACCTGGTCTGGCCTACTTGTGACTCCAGACCACAGCAATGTGGTTGACTCTAAACTTCCCTTTGCGGAATTAGAGATGGCCGATAAATACTGGCCCAGACAGTGATGTGCACATCCTGTGAGTGAATATAAAAGAAACAGACAAAAAGGATCTCCACAATCCGACAACTCTACTTTCTGTCTGCCAGGATTTTAATAAGCATCCACCTCACTCAGAAGAACTGAATGTACACATCCTACTCTATATTTTTCAAATCTCATTTGGGTCAAGAGGAATGGATTGATTTTATTCATGAGTATCCATTAACCAGTGGACAAGTCATTGATGGGGTTGTGTTGTGAAACATTATGTTCCAGTTCCATTTGCAGTCATGCATCGATCCTGCTCTCCCAGGTGTACATACACAGACGATGCCAAGGCAAGAAAGGAAGACTTGCATTTACCTAGCGCCCTCCACAATCTAAGGTTGGCCCCAAGCCCCTTGCAGCAAACAGTCATTGTTGTAACGTAGGGAAAAATGACAGTCAGTCTACACACAAAACCTCACAAACTGCGATGGGACAACTGACAATTCAAGGGTTCTACGTGCTTAAATTAGGTGGCAGCAGGGTCGGTCAGTGGTTAGCACTGCTGCCTCACAGCACCGGGGACCTGGGCTCGATTCCAGCTTCAGGCAACTGTCTGTGGAGTTTGCACATTCTCCCAGTGTCTGTGTGGGTTTCCTCCACGTGCTCCGGTTTCCTACCACAGTCCGAAGATGTGCTGGCTAGATGGATTGGTCATGCTAAATTATCTATAGTGTCTGGGGATGTGCAGGCTGGGTGGGTTAGCCATGGGAAATGCAGGGTTACAGGGATAGGAGTAGGGGGTGGGTTGTAGATGGGGTGCTCTTTGGAGGCTAGGGCTGGGCCAAATGGTCTGCCTGCACACTGTAGGGATTCTATGATTCTAAATGGAGGAATAGGCTGACCCATATCCTTTCCAATTCTTCAAATTATGTCACAGAATGCTTTACCCACAATTTAACATCTCATTCACAAGAATGGCGCCTGGGGTAGCACAGTACTGCCTTGGTCCTGCTCCAAAGTTTATTTTTTAATTTTTTTTTTATTCTTGCAAAGGTATGGGTGTGGGCACCATCGGCAAGGCCAGCATTTGTTGCTAATCCCTGACTGCCCTTGAAGTGATTGGTTCTGTAACTAGTTCAGAGGACAGTCATAAGTCAAATACATTGCTGTAGGTCTCTGTCACATGGGGCATCAGTGACTCAGACGGTTTGGTTCTGAAATGTCAATGGTTTCACAATTGCCATTAGACTTGCTTTTGCTTAATTCAGATTTCACCATCTGCCATAGTGGGATTTGAACCGATGACTCCAGAACATTACCTTGGGGTTCCAGATTGCTCAACCAGTGATTTACCAGCCAAGATTTTGCATTCAAATCCTGGAGTGGGGTTTGAGGCCACGGTTTTCCAACATCTCCAGGAGTCTGTGTCAACACCTCCATGTACCACCATTGACATCTGAAGTGAACTAGCATCTCTGGTTGGGTTATACCCAATCCCTCACTTCCCAACTCCAATGTCCATTTCTTCACAATTCCCAATCCTGATCCCACTCTCTTCAAAATTTGCAATCCATGCCCCACCATCTCCATACTTTCCAATTCCTAATCTCTCTACAGTTCCCAATCACAGTCCCATTCCCTCCACAATTCCCAATCCTGGTCCCACCGTCTTCAGACTTCCCAATGCCAAAATCCATTCATTCCATAATTCCCGATCCCAATGCCCACTGTCTCCGCTTCCCAGTCTCTCTACACTTCCATGCCCCAATTCCTCTCTTGTTGACACAGATTGTGTGTCATTATCCTAACTCTGGATTCCCTCAAACATGTTCAATAAATCCAGCTAATCACCATACTTCGTCCTTTCTAAGCAATGATCCTGTAGCTAATCAGCCTGCCTCAGCTGTTAAAGTTTCTTCGTCAACATGGGGCCAGAAACCTCAGCAATGAGATTATAAGGAAGGTTCGGAGTTACAGACAATTTTAAGAGTGAACAATCTTACCTTCAGTCTGCCAAACTCACACGCGAGATCCAGTGGTGTTTTCTTGGCCTTATTTATGATGCATGGGTTGGATTGGTGCTGCAGGAGCATCTCAGACTGTCAGAGAAAATAATTACAGAAAATAAATACCGGGCAGATATCCCTGTCCAAATTCCATCTTCATTTACAGAACTTGGAGTCCTTTGTTTCAGCCTTGACCCCCCTCTCCTCCCTGCTCCCCTCCCACCCAGCTTCATTGAGTTAACCCACATCTTCATCACTCAGGAACTCAAATATTTCATCAGAACCTTTGAATGCCCTCCATGGTCTCTCCTGCATTTCACACAATGTGGCGGTCAGTGGTTCAATTGTTCTGTGCTGGCATGATGCAAGTTTGGAAATTCATTCACGCTCATTGGTCAAACCTGGGCGTGGACTCAGAACAACGTAAGCAGACACCAGAAACGCAATTCAAAGTTGAGTTTTAAACATGGGTTTTGTGATTCCATTCATTTTTAAGGCTGTCGTAAATATATCTGTTGTCTCTGCATTGTTCTGATACACACAAAACATACAACACACTTTTTTTGAGATCATAGAATCCCTACAGTGTAGAAGCAGGCCACTTGGCCCATCAAGTCTATGCCAACACACTGAAGATCATTCCAGTCAGACCCCCCTACCCTATCCTTGTAACCCTGCATTTCCCATGGCTAATCCACCCAGTCCACACATCCCTGGGCACTATGGGTCAATTTCCCATGGCCAATCTACCTAACCTGCATATCTTTGGACTGTAAGAGGAAACCCATGCAGACAATATACAAACTCCACAGAGGCAGTCACCCAAGGCTAGAATTGAACCCAGGTCCCTGGTGCTGTGAAACAGCAGTGCTAACCACTGAGCCACCGTGCCACCCTTAGATTTAGATTTAGATTGCTAAACATGCTTTATTTGAATTGTGATACACAAGACAAAAAGTAGTCTAAATCTCCAGTCCTGCACTGCGGTACAACAATGTTGTATTTTTATAGCATCTTAATTTGACTAGAACATCCTAAAGCACTTCACAGAAACATTTTAAAAACGATATTTAACACTGAGCTGTGTAATGAAGTTTGGCCAAGGAGGGAGGTTTTAAAGAGTGTCTTTTAAGAAGAGAAAGAGGGAGAGAGTGGTCGCGAATCAGAGAGATACTGAAAGAAGAAATTCAAGAGTTTAGTGCTCAGGCAGTGAAAGGTGAATGAATGATTTTACTATCACGGGTACATTACAGTGAGAAAAACAGTAAAATACAGTGACAAGCTTTTCCGCTGTCACCACGATCCGGTGCCATTTCGAATCGTTTAAAAATAAGAGAATAAAATAGAAATGTGGCTTCAAAAAAGTCCATCAGTACTGAGCCAGCTCATCAACAACAATGTGTGTGCTGCCACACCTCCTGCACTGCCTCGCTGCTATCTACGTTGGACCCAACCTACCACAAAGTCGCCGATCTTCAGGTGTTGTTTTTCGCTGCTGGGCCTACATCGCCGATGTAACAGCCACCAATTCCGGTACCAGGTCCCGTGCTGGCCCTGGAAAAGTAACCAGGAGCTCCCTCGCCAACGCCATGTGATGGGCGCTGGGCCCACTCGAGTTCGCTCTGGGATTCCTCGCTGTGTCCGAAGCTGTCCGTGATCATGACAAGAGGTAAGTCCAGGAAAGAAGAGAAAACAGAAAAAGAAAAGCAGTCGGAGAGGACGAGGCCCAGCTCGGGAGCTCTACTCCACCGCCATCTTGATGACATCACCTGGCACCTGGAGTGGAGATGCTGCCTCTGGTGCTGGAGCAGTTAACATTGAGGTTGTTCAACAGGCTGGAGTCCGAAGAGACAGATATTCCGGAGGGTCGTGTGATAGAAAGGGGTGAGGTGGTGGACGGATTTGAAAATGAAGATGAGAATTTTAAAGGCAAGGAGTTATTTAACTGGGAGCCAATGTAGGTCAATGAACACAGGGAGCAATGGGTGAATGAGACAAGGAGTGAATAAGGACATGGGGCAGCAGAGATTTCAGATGGTCTTCACTTAATGGATGCGTGGATGTGGGAAGCAGGCCAGGATTCCATCAGAATAATCAAGACCATGGATAACAAAGCTGGGCCTGAGAGCATCTGCAGCCAATGAGGCAGAGGAGCCGTGCAGTACTGACCAACTACTAACCTCCAGTGCAGTCAACTGTGCTTGTCTTTGGATGAATGCAAGGGATACTTGACTATATTTATCTTGTGTCTCAGGAAGCCACACAGGAGCCACACAGTGAAGACGATGCCACAAACAGCAGCTGAGACAACAACTCAGTTGATCATGATGTCCATTGAGGGACAAAGATTGGCTGAGACCCTGGAAGGAACTCCCTGCTCTTTTCTCCAATGGTTTATAAAATCCAAATAAACTACCACAGGCTGACATTTAAATTTAATGTTTACTGTGAAAGACAAAGCCTATGACAGTGCAGCTCTGCCTCAGTGTGACCCTGAAATTACGGCCTGCATTAAACATTCAAAGCCTGAACACGTCCTTTACGCACCCCACACCCCAGGTCTTGTCATGACATGAGCTGTTTTCACCACGGCCAACCCATTTTCACCTATACATTGTTCCCATTGTCAGCCGTTCTCTTCCCGAGCTCACTATCACCCATCCTCTTGTCTCTCTCACTATTATATTCTCTCTCTCTCTCTCTGGGCTCCACCTGCATCTATCCATTCACTCCTTCCCCCCATCCCATCCTGTCATAAGAACATGAGTAAAAGGAGCAGGAGTAGGCCATCTGGCCCATCGAACCTGCTCTGCCATTCAATATGATCATGGCTGATCTTTTCATGGACTCAGCTCCACTTACCTGCCTGCTCACCATAACCCTTAATTCCTTTACTGTTCAAAAATCTATCCATCTTTGCCTTGAAAAGATTCAACAAGATAGCCTCAGCTGCTCCATTGGGCTTTGTGTCTACTATCATTTCTGAAACTGGACTGGAAACATTAGCTCCGTTTCTCTCTCCACAGATGCGGCCAGTTCTGCTGAGTTTCTCCGGCAATTCCTATTCTTGTTTCAGATTTTCTGCAACCACCTTTCTTTGTTTCATTTAATTACATACTCGAGTCTTTGGTTGACTCGATGATTCACTTCCTTGTTGCCGAGTGGACATTGTTGACATAGAAAATATTGACATATTTATGTAAATAGAAGTCACTGCGCTGCAGAAGAAATCTTCAAGCGAAATACATCAGAAGATGCTTTGACTGTGTGGCCGGTTACTACACAAATATATGTTCCTTTTGGTCATTTGCTATTATCTAGGCTCTCCTACCCTTTCCTGCTTTCTTGTGTTGGGTATTCCTCTGGAACATGTGGGCAGGGAAAGCTTAGAGTCATAAAACGGCAGATGCTGCAATCCAAGGTAGACAAACAGGAGGCTGGAAGAACACAGCAAACCAGGCAGCATCTGGAGGAAAGGAGCAGTCCTGAAGAAGGGTAATACCCAAAGGTTTCACTGCTCCTTTCCTCCAGATTCTGCCTGGTAGAGAAAGATTGCCCGGTGAGAGGGGAATAAACAATCTTTAAAACAGACCTGCTGGGTTTTTCCACCAATTTCTGTTTTTGTAACAGTAGTACTGTGTACAATTCCGGTCACTCTACCATAGGAAGGAATTATTAAACTGGAGAGGATTCAGAAAAGATTTACCAGGATGTTGCCAGGAATGGAGAATTTGAGTTATAAGGAGAGGTTGGATAGGCTGGGACTGTTTTCACTGGAACCTAAGAGATTGAGGGGTGACCTTTATAGAGGTTTATAAAATCATGTGGGGAATAGAAAACGTGAATAGGAAAGATGTATTCCTTAGGGTGGGTGGGTTCAAAACTAGAAGGCGTATTTTTAAGGTGAGATGAGAAAGATTTAGAAGTGACTTGAGGGGCAGCTTTTTCACTTGTGTGTGGAATGAACTCGCAGAGGAAATGGTACAGGCAGGTACAGTTACAACATTTAAAAGACATTTGCACAGGAACGTGAATAGGAAAGGTTTACAGGGATATGGGCCAAATGCAGGCAAGTGGGACTAGTTTAGTTTGGGCAACATGGTCAGCATGGATGAGTTGGACCAAAGGGTCTGTTTCTGTGCTGAATGACTCTCAGACTCAATTTGGCCGCAGATTGAATTGATCTGCCAGTGCAGTTCCTCAGGCAGCCAGTAGGAGGCAGAAGAGGGCCACTGTGGGAATATGAGAGGGAGTTGGTGATTCTCACTCTGTGGCCCAGGTCTCTGTAGTCCCCTGAGAGAGAACAGGTGCCACTGCTTTTCATTATTTGGTTTGATGTGGTCCTCAGGGTGCAAAAGATCGAGACAGGAGGATTCGGAATATCCTGCCGAGCAAGCCGGCAGGTTTGGTTTCCTCGGATCTGAGGGGGTCTGGAGGTGAGCAGTGAAGGTGATGGTGAAGGGTAGTGAATGTTAACAGCACGTTGCTGACCCCACGCCCCCAAACTCCAGCGCTGCTGTGACACAATCTGATCCGCTCCTGCCAAGAGAATCCATGGTTTAACCCTTCCCTCCTGGCCCAGAAAGCCTGAAGTGCACCCAGGAGTTAAAGAGGTATGTAAAAAAAATCCTCCACAACTAGCAGGCAGGGACATGGGAAAAAGGGAGGAGATCAGCACGAAGTAAGAGAGCCAGTCTCGGGATGATGGGCTGAATGGCCTCTTTCTGCGTTATCATAATTCAGTAATTCTGAGGGGTCTGTGAGTGGGATTTGAGGAGATCGAGTCCCCATATTTTCCCAAATACCACTTTATCTGCCCCTTCTGGCCAAAGTAATATCCGCCCAGTCTCTCTTTCCCACCAACCACCTAAAGCCAACAATAATTACTTTCATTTATATCCTGCCTTTTACCAGCTCACGTTCCCTCAGGGTGGCCACTTCAAACAAGCTGTGGCACTGTGGTTCTCATCAGGGCACATGACCCAAAGGCTCAGTCAAGGTGGTGGGTTTAAGGAGGACGAGGTTCACGGAGAACCACAACTTTCTACCTAATTAGGTGAAGCCCAGCTCGCAATGGTGCAATCTTTAAAGAG